GCTGGGTCGATGACAGTCTGTGATTGAGGGGGAAATGCACATTCTATCCACTCAGTTGACATTTCGCCAACGATCCTGGCTCTGTCATGGACTAGCTGTGTAACTTCTTCCTCTCCCTTGCCCTCAGTCTCCTTATTGGTAAAATGGAGATGAGAATACTTGTTTTACCTCCTTACTTGGTTGCTATTTTGTAATGTATTTTGTAAGACTTTAAATGGCATAGCAATGTGAGTTATTTTTATTATTAATGTATATTTTATAAAAGCTTCACTTAGAAGTAGTGGGAATGACAACTTGATTATATTTCAGCTATAGGAAGAAAGAATGACCTTTAAAAGGAAGGCCTTTAAAGTATATACATACATTTACACACATAAAAAAATATATATATATATACTTACATATAATATGCATGCACATACACACACAGATATTTCTTTCTTAACCAGTATGGACTAGTCTGTCAAAATATAGCCTAAGATGCTTGAAATTCCTTGAAAGGATAATTCTTATGCAGAGAAATCATTTGTCTCCTATAGAGCAACAGTTCTCTTGTCCTACTTGTCTATAGTTCCTTTCTTTCCCAGAGCTTGACAGATTAAATAGATAACAAAGGTAGGATGCCTTTAAAAGCAGTTACCTTAAATGCTATGTGGGCTCCCTTAGAGAAAACAGCTTCATTTTAAAACAGCACATTTCTCTCACTGGATCTTCTCTTTAATAAGTCACCCCAAAGGGACTCAGTCTCATGTGGATTCACACAGATAACATTTTAAAATTCTTTTTTTTTTTTGGCCTGTAATTCCCTAAGAGCCCTAGCAATGTGTTCACTAGTGTGTGGTAGTGACAATTCCTCTCTCCACTTCCATAGAGGTTGGGACTGGACTGTGGACTCTCTGAAACTTATAGTCTTTGAGATTTGCCTAGACGGAGCATTGAGAAGCAAAGTGACTTGTCTGGGCAAAAACAAACAAACAAACAAGACTAATGCCACCACTACCACCACAACCACTGCTATCACAATACCAATACTAACACCATCACCAACACTACTACCACCACTGCTACCAACCAACAAACTGTGGTCATAATATAATATATGGATTCAGTCCAACACATGTTTATTAAATACCTACTAGAGGCAGCTAGGTGGCGCCATAGTGCATAGAGTGCTGGTCCTGGAGTCAGGAAGACTCATCTTCCTCAGTTCAAATCTGAACTCAGACACATACTAGATATATGATCTTGGGCAAGCCACTTTACCCTGTTTTTCTCAGTTTCCTCATCTATAAAATGAGCTGAGAAGGAAATGGCAAACCACTCCAGTATCTTTGCCAAGAAAACCCCAAATAGGATTGTGAAGAGTTGGACATGACTGAGAAACAACTGACCAAAATTCAGTTTGCTGTCTTCAGTACTCAAGATACAAAGATGAAAAAATTTTGATTTTTTTTTTAGGCAATTAGGGTTAAGTGACTTGCCCAGGGTCACACATCTAGTGTTTGTTCTGAGGCCGGATTTGAACTCAGGTCCTCTTGGCTTCAGGGCTGATGCTCTATTCACTGTGCCACCTAGCTGCCCCCAAAAGATTAAAAAATTAAAAAGCAATATGGTATAGATGAAGAAGCACCAGACTGACAATTAAGACTTAGGCTCAGATTCTGACTGATGCTTGTTAACTATGTGAATATGGATAAGTCATTTTAGCACTATGATCCTCACTTTCTTTATCTGAAAAATGAGGATAATGCAACATTCAATACTTACCTTTCAGGGAGTTAACTATAAGGTGTTACAAAAACATAGATAGTTACTATACTTTGATGAATGTATGCTCTCTGTTCAAAATAGTGAAAAGAGGGCTGGGCTTGGTTGAACCTGGGTTCAAATCCTGACCCTGACACTCACTAAATGGGTAACCTTGGAAAAAAAATCACTTAAAGAAATTGTAGCTCAGTGAGATTATCTGTAAAATGGGGAGAGTGATAGCTATACCACCCACCTCAAAAGGTTGATAGAAGTATCAAATATATATATAAATGTTTATAAAAATGCCTTGTAAAGATTAAAGTACTATACCTGTCAAACTCCTTCCACTACTGCAGCTTGCAATTACATCAATGTTATTATGACATAGTCCCTACCTTCAAGAAGTTTATACTTTAATGGTTGGGGACATATGACAGTTATACAAATTTCCATCTTAAAAGTTAGAATAATATGATGCGGTCATAGGAGAAGCAGTCAAAGCATGATGAGAAATCTGGGGAGAGATCTCTTTCATCTAGGGTGAGGTGTAAGGAATAAGGGTCAGGAGAGACTACCTTGGGAGGTGGCTTTTGAATTTGAATTTGAATTTGAAGAAAGGCAGGGGAACTTTGACAGACAGAGCTGTGGGAGGACCAGTCTTGTCTAAAAGCAGCTG